CACTGACGTGTGTCGTACGGCCAGAGCTAAACTTCACAGAGAACGGGAACCGCAATTTCTCAATTCCTCTTGTTTTTGACGGGATTTCCCGGACGTCTTGAAAATTTCCCAAGAGGGGGCAGCCGTCCGGAGTTGCAGACCAGCTGTAGTTTCGCAACAGTAGTTGCTTAGATTGTACTCAACCAGTATCACAATGGCGTGGCGTGGCGTGCCACTGAGAGAGGGAGAGAGACAGGGAGAGAGAGAGAGGGAAAGAGAGAGAGAGAGACAGCGGACGGAGGCGGTTCGCCAGGCTGCCTGTGTGTCAGGCTGCGCCGCCCGTCACCCGTGTGTGGCGGGTCTGCCTACCCGCCCCCTGCGTCCGCTCTCGCTCACAACGGAAGGAGCAGGAGGGGCGTTCCAAGAAGGGCGTCACAAGAGACATCCTGATCCTGACGGCGGCGGTGACCAACCCCAACCCCCCGTACCCAGCGCAGAGTACCAATAATAGCCACCCTGGGAGATATAGAGACTCTTACATGAAGAGGCTGAACGGCTGAAGTGAACGGGACAGGCCGACGATCCATCCTAAGCGGGCTTAACGAAGCGCCCGACTCGCGTGCTTGCTTTGTGTCACTTGTGCTGACTGAATGAGTGTAACTGTTTTGCAGATGGAAACCCTGAACCAGATGCGGGCGCTGCAGTGTTTGAACCTCGGGGCGGTCGAGGTCGGGGCCAAGGCAGAGGCGCCGGACCGGTAAGTAACCCTAACCTAGGTGACATGGGCGGGGCGCGTCCCGAGCACCCCTTTTTAGACAGCCCCTTGTGGATGTCTCTACCCGTAGGTAAGTCATCTCAAGTTGTCAGCTCTAGCCTAGCGCCAGTCAGTAGCGTTAGGCAGTCGGCCCCGCTCGCCCTGACAACTGTAATGGGGGCCCCCTTTGCTTGTCATTGTTTTCCTGTCGACTGATAATTCGTTACCGCCCGCCCTGCTTCGTTCTGCCGCTCTCCTCTCGCGTCTCCGGGGCGTTCTTCGGCATCGCCAAGTAGGCCGTTCTATTGCTACGCCGCGGGGGCTGTTTGGGGTTGTTCGGCGGGGTGGCGCGCGCCCTATGTGAAGGCCAAGCGCCACTAGAAGGGGAGGTGGTTCGGGCTGGCGCCAAGCTCGGGCCATGGGGGTATTCGGACCGGCCTGCGCTGTCCTGCTCTGGAATGCGTGGATGACCGGCCGGCCGGCGGCGGGCAGGCGGGGGCGCCGAGGGGGCCCGCAGCGGGAGCGGGCTCTGCGGGGCCCTGGCGGCGGGGCCCTGCTCGGTGCTCGGCCAGCCGGAGCGCCACGACGCCCCGCCACGCCGCGCACGGACATGGCACTCTCACTCTTGGCGTGGGCGATGGCCGGCCCGGTGCCGGAGGTGCGCGCGCCTGGCCTGGATGGTGGGGACGACTGGGCAGGCCTCCGGACGGGATGACCTTGCCGCCGCGTCCTGCCGGTCCTGCGCGCTCCAGGCAGCTCCGGTCCGGTCCTGCAACCGCCCTGCAGGTGTGGCCGGCCGGCTTCGGCGAACCCTGCCCCTCCCCGCGCGTCTCGTACAGGGCAGCGAGCGTTGATGATGCGTGTAATGCCTCTCTTATCAGGAGTGCTGCCGCTGCGCGCTTCGCGTCGCTTCGCGCCCCCATGAGGGCTGCAGCGCTGCTATCGAGTGCGTCTGGATGCTGCGCTGGACCCGCGCCGCGCTCGCGTTCCCACGGCCCGGACGGCTAGCCCGGACTCCCCGCCGGACTGCACTCTTGTTGATGAGATACTCGGCCCAGCAGGCGCGCCCGCCAGCCCCACCCTTGTGCGGCCGCTGCTCCAGCCGCTCCTTCCAGAAGGTTTTATGGCCTGGAATGTTGGAATCGCGAGCGGCGAGCGCGCGGTAGCCGCGCGCACTAAGAGTTGAGGAGCCGTCTGGATTGTGATTAGCCGATGCTGCCGTCCCGATAAAGCTCGCCGTCGCCGTGTGCGCGAACCGCTCACTCAGCTAGCTCGGTATAGATGCGGGCAGCCTCAGCCTC